GGTTCTAGTCCCGGTCGGGGCACCGGAATTCTGTCCCGGTTGCCCCTCTTCCAGGCCAGCTCTCTGCTATGGCCAGGGAGTGCAGTGGAGGATGGCCCAGGTGCTTGGGCCCTGCACCCCATGGGAAACCCAGGAAAAGCACCTGGATCCTGGCTCCTGCCATCGGATCAGCGCGGTGCGCCGGCTGCAGCGGCGGCCATTGGAGGGTGAACCAACGGCAAAGGAAGACCTTTCTCTCTCTGTCTCTCTCTCTCACTGTCCACTCTGCCTGTCAAAAATAAAAAAAAAAAATAAATAAATAAATAAAAATAAAAAAAAAATAAAAATAAAAATAAAAAAAAATAAATAACATTTAAAAAAAATAGTAATACTTAAAGAATTTAATTCAAGTATGCCCTTCTCTCTGATAATATATGAAGGTGTCTGAAACTTTTCTCACAAAAGCATATGCAAAGAAGTCTCAAATTACCGTTTGCAAGTTTTTAATGAAAAAGAGCTGGTGATTTCTATATTGTTTCTTGAGTACTTGCTTTTTATATTTCATCCATATGGATGTTTTGTGACTACATGTATGTTTCATACATGTTTTATTCATTGAAACACAGTGTTTTGTACATATTTCTTCACTTAAATGTTACTTTTTTGTTTTTATGTAAGTAACACATGCACATAAACCTGTGGTTCTCAATTTTTCCTGTGCATCAGCAACATGCAGAGCCCTTGTGGCTGGACCCCGTTTCCTATGATTCACTCGCCCTGGGCTGAGCCTTAGCTGTCAGTGTTTTTTGGAGACTGCTTCCAGCGAGCTCTCAGGGGTAGAGACATGTGGGCAGGATGTTCCTCGAGGTTGTCTGAAACCAGTTGTCTCCTGCTCTCCTGCCTGCCCTTCTTTGCCTCTTCCCAGCAGCCAAAACTTCCATGCTTGTTTGCTGATTGTTTTGATTTTTACTTTGATGTGTATCCACCATTTTTCTAAATAATATGCTAGGATTGATAGTTCTTGATTCATCAGTTTTCGGCATTATGAGTTGATTTCCTGCTATGAAAGAGAGGTGCAGCTCTATTTCCTTTTCCCATTCTCCACTCAAGTTTGTATCCTTTCCATACTTCTATCTACACAATAGATGATTTTGGTAAAGATAATATTATCCATATAATCTTAACTGAATATCTGTGCTTATGTTATTATAACTGTAAAACGCTTATAGGAACTTAGCTACCAGTAAACTCTGATTACTTGTCCTTTCATATGCAATTTGCACTTTTCCTGAAATAACTACTTCTCCGTCCGTGTTATTTTTCTGAACTTATCAGCAGCCCTACCCAGCCTCTCATGAATTGTCTGAATCTTCTTCCAGCTCGCCTAGACAGCTGGTCTCTTAGTTAGTTTGTCTTTGAGGTGAGTTGTCTGCGGGGTAGAGCACCTGGCCTGGTGCCCTTCCCTGGTGCTACACAGCCCTCATTGCAGAATCTCCCTCATTCTTATCCTGGCGGCTCTGCTGTATTGGCTACTCTGCTCCAGAATCTGGTGTTGTCTTCTCTCTGGCTTCACCGTCTTATTTTGGCACAGCGTCTTCCTGAGAAAGGTGACTGTGATCTAAATAGCTTCTGCAGGTGTCTCTCATTTACTCTCATATTTTAATGATGGCTTTGGTACAGGTTAGAAATTATTTCCCTTCTAAACTTGGAAGACTGGTGCAATGTTTTCCAGCATCCAGTATTTCTTTATATACAGACATATACCTATTATACACACATATACCTGTATCACACATTTATAATTATCTTGCTTTTATCTTTGAGAATATCGGTGATCATTTAAAAATCCTTCTCCCTGCCTGCTGTCTATTTTCTTCTGCATTGATTTGTTTCTTTTTGGGGTTGCCTGTATCTATCTATTTATCTATCTATCTCTCTCTCCCTCCCTCCCTCCCTCCCTCCCTCCCTTCTTTCCTTCCTTCCAAGATTTACTTGTTGGAGGGGCCAGTGCTGTGGCACAGCAGGTAAAGCTGCCGCCTGCAGTGCCAGCATCCCATATGGGCAAAAGTTCTAGTCCTGACTGCTCCACTTCCAATTTGGCTCTCTGCTGTGGCCTGGGAAAACAGTAGAAGATGGTCCAAGTACTTGGGTCCCTGCACCCATGTGGGAGACCTGGAAGAAGCTCCTGTCTCCTGGCTTCAGATCGGTGCAGCTCAGGCCATTGTGGCCATCTGGGGAGTGAACCAGCAGATGGAAGACCTCTCTCTCTCTTCCTCTCCTTCTCTCTCTATGTAACTCTGACTTTCAACTAAATAAATGAACCTTTAAAGAAAAAAAGATTTAGTTGTTGGAAAGGCAGAGTTAGAGGGAGAAGGAGGACTGAGAAAGATCAATTTTCTATCTTCTGGTTCACTCCCCACGTGGCTGCAATGACTAGGGCTCCACCAGGCAGAAGCCAGGTACCTGGAACTCCACCCCGTCTCCCCCAGATGTGGGCGGGGACCAAGCACTAGGGCCATCTTGTACTCCCTGCCCAGGTGCATTAGCAGAGAGCTCGATCGGAAGTGGGCAGAGAACTGCT